AGATGCTGAAACAACTCTAGACACACTAAGCCACCTTATCTTTGACAAAGTTACCAAACACATTCACCAGAAGAAAAATAGTCTCTTTTAATAAATAGTGATGGAAAAGGTCCAAGGTTAAAACTGGACCTGTATCTTTCACTATGTACTAAGCTAAAATCAGAATGGATCAAAGATCTTAATATTAAAACAGAAACATTACATCTGCTGGAAAATAGAGTAGATGAACTCTTGAAGACAAGAGTATAGTAGGCAAAGAGTTTATAAACAAAACCCCAACTGCCTGGGACCTATCACAAAGAATCAACACCTGGGATCTCACCCTACTGAAGAGTTTTGGCACAGCAAGAGAAACCACCAACAGAGTGAAAAGACAACCCACAACGTGGGACAAAATGTTTGCCAGCTGTTTCTCACACAAAAGATTACTATTGAGAACATATAAACAACTCAAAAAAATCAGTCCTCCCAGATTTAAATACTCAATCCAAAGATGGGCATCTGAGATGAATACACACTTTTTATATGAAGAAATAAGAACAGCAAATAAATATGTGAAAAAATGTTCAGCATCACTGGTCATTCGAGAGATGCAAATTAAAACAACACTGAGATTTCATCTCACCCCAAAAAAGAATGGCTACTATCAAGAAATCAAGTAATAAAAATACTGGAGGGGCTATGGGGAAAAGGAATCAAATCCTTCTTCACTGCTGTGGGAGTGCAGACTGGTCCCACCACTGTAGAAATCAGTGTGAAGATTCCTCAAAGAAATAGGATTGGAGGTCTCATTCAACCCAGCTATTCCCATTCTGGGTATCTTCCCAAAAGAATTAAAAACATCATACCACAGTGATATATGTACACCCATGTTTATAGCAGCACAGTTTTTAACAGCCAGACCTTGGCACAACGTAAATATCCATTGACTGAGGAATGGACAAACAGCAGTGTTTTGTGAATGCCACTTTGTTAGTCTTGATCATCACACCATGGTTATGTGACACAAAGGGTGTACTGGAACCCAGTCCTGTTTCCTGTGGAGCCATGGCCACAATCTCATGTCCAGCAGTAGAGCTTTCTTCTCGTCCATGCAGCCTGCTCACAGCGAGTGCACCGGCAACACAGCCATCAATGACTTCATCCCTTATGTTCTTCCCCCCAACTCATGGCCTCTTGCAGGCCAGGCTTCACAGTTTCCATTAAATCAAGAGTTAACTGAAGACTCACAAGACAGGAGTGGTGACAAAAATGACAGTCCAATTCCCCATTCCTATCGTCCAGTAAATTTTCTACTCTTAAGAAAAAGAAAAAAACTAACAGCCCACACAAGAGATGCAAAACTCAGAAAATGCTTCATTTCATGTAAGTACATGAAATATATGTGCTGTAACACGTGCCGTCTTGAGTTATGAAGAGTCACATTGGACATCACTGTATCCAGTTGAGTTATCAAGGGGTTTTTTTTCAGGGTAGGGCTTATAAGCATCCTGGAAAATTATGCTAGGGCTTATTTTCCAGTTAGACCTTATTTTTGTAGACATATGTTAGCCAAACTGTTTAATTCTAGCACTCAGAAAGCTTTCAAATTCCAGGCCAGCTTGAATTACACAGTAGACCCTATCTCAGGAAAACACACACACACACATTCAAAAAAAGTGTAACCTATGGAATGTGAGAAAAAATTTGAAAATTATATAGGTAACTGATATAGGATTTATATCTAGAACAGATAAAGAAATCATATCTAATAATAAAAAGACATATAACCTCATTAAAGAGGGCAAAAGATGTGGCAACTTTCCAAATAAGCACATGAAAAGGTACTCAGGGGGGCTGGGGATTTAGCTCAGCAGCATAAGTGCCTGCCTTGCAAGCAGGCAGTTGTGAGTTCGATCCCCGTTACCCGTAAAAATGAAAAAGACCAAAAAAAAAAAAAAAAAAAGGTACTCAGGGATATGCAAACCAAGCCACAGTGAGTACTACTTTATGCCAGTAGAATGGCTGTAATCAAGGAGACAGATAATAGAAACAGGTGTTGCAAGAATGTGAGCCACAGGCTGGGAGTTTAGCTCAATGGTATAAGCACTTGCCTGGCAAGTGTAAGGTTGTGAGTTCGATCCCTAGTACCAAGAAAAAAAAAAAAAGAATGTGAGCTAATCAGAACCTCCTACACTGCTGCTGGCAGTGTTAAGATAGGGCAGCCAATTTGGGGAAAAGTGCAGCAGTTCATTAAAACATAGATCTCAAAAGTACACAAATGAAAATATGTCCACATGAAACTTGTAATGAATGTTTGTAGCTAAATTATTCTTTGACACCCATTAAGTAGAAGCAACCTAAGTGGAAATCAGTGAATGGGTTGTGATATATGCATACAATGAAGTATTACTCAAACATAAAAGGAAATTAAATAGCAACACATGCTATGACATAAATAAAACTTGAAAACAATACACATTACTCTATGAGTTGGGTGTGGCAGTGCCTGACTCCTGCAATATTTGGATGACTGCAAATTCAAGGCAAGCCTAAGTAACTTAATAAGACCCTATATTTAAAAAAAATGCAAAGGTCTTGGACTATAGCTCATTGTAAAAGTCCTGGGTTCAATTCCCAGTGCAAAAAAAAATTATATACATGTATACGCATATATATTTTCATATTGCTATATGAAAGAAGCTAGACACAAAAAGACTAAAGTGGAGTCTAACTCTCTAGTCGGTATTTGTATATACTAACAGCAATGAAATCTTCAGCAAGTTACTGAATTCTCCCTGCTCCATCAGCTGTAAAGTTTATAGTCCATCTTTGTCTTAAAAAATAACGAAGGGCCTTGTATTACAAAGCAAGTCTCAAATACAAGTTTGTTAAATGGGTAAGTGCCTTCTTAGCTACAATTTCAACTGACATACAGGAATCTGTAAGTCTGTTTAATTTCTGGTATAACAATGAGGCAGTTCCTAACTTGTCTTATTATGAAGCATCTACCTGAAAATGAACAAATTTCTAAACATCAACTGTAAAAATAAGTGGAAAAAATGAATAAAGAATTTTACCTGGGTGGGCATAATACAGTCCTATGGAGGCTGAAGCAGGAGAATTGCAAGTTCAAACTTTGCCAGGACAACTGAGTGACTTAGGGAGACCTTGTCTAAAAAATGCAGAAAGTGAAAGACTGGGGCTGGGCATGGGGGTTCACTCTCTAGCTCTTCTCCCCTCAAAAGAACTTCACTGGACTTAGTAGACTGCATAGTTTAGATTTTTGTGGACATAGTGAAAAAGTTAAGAATCTTTCATCACATTTTATCCTCCAAAATATTATATGCTGAGTAGCAGATAAGTATTTCCAGCCAAACTTCGTCTCAATTTCTTGACAGTCTGTCAACTTTGAGACTGCTAATTGATTTGAAATTAACACTGAAGTCATAGACTCGGAGGCCATGGTAAAATTAAGTTTTCTTTCTGATTAAATGGAGAAGTGGCCTGGCATGGTGACTCACTCCTGTAATCCCAGCACTCAGGATGGGAGCTGAGGAGGGAGGATCATTGCCAGTTGGAGATCAGCCTGAGTTACAAAGTGAGCTCAAGGTCAGCCTGAACTGCATAGGGAGACCCCGTCTCAAAAAAAGATAAAAAAAAAAAAAAAGAGAAGTGATATGTTTCAATAAAAATCAGCCCAGACAATAGCTGGGTATGGAGATGCACATCTGTAATTCCAGCACTCAGGACACCCAGGCAGGAGGATCACTATTAGTCTGAGGTTGCTCAGGTTACATAACCAAGTTCAAGGCCATCGTGCACTACAGTGAGACTTGTCTCCAAACAAAACAAAACTGGCCTGATATAGGCATTTATTTGTTTAGTTTTTTGTGGTACTGAGGATTGATCCTTCTCGCTGTGCTAAAACTCTAGCACTTATTTACCCTCTTAAAGTATTTTTGAGACAGGATTACACCAAGTCACCCAGGCTGGGCCTGAACCTTTGATCTTCCTGCCTCAGCTTTTTAGAGAGCTGGTGTTACAAGTAAACCTATGGGGTGGGCACTTTACCAAAACTCTATTTTTATTTATGTATTTATTTATTTATTTTTATCGGTACCGGCGATTGAACTCACGACCGCCTGCTTGCAAGGCAGGTGCTTATGCCGCTGAGCTAAATCCCCAGCCCCAAAACTCTATTTTTATGAGATTTACATATAAACAGTCTTCAATTCGCAATATATACACTTGTTTAAGGAGTTCATAAACTAAAGAAAACCAAACATACAAAACAGAATGCCAGGCCTGAGGATTTAGCTCGGCAGGCATAAGCGCCTGCCTTGCAAGCATGAGGTCATGAGTTCGATCCCCGGTACCAAAAACAAAAAAACAGTATACCAGTTAAAACAGAATTCAGTATCCTCTAAACTTGTTTGGATTTTATAAAAATTCAGCAAAACTTAAAAATACCATCCAACTGTCCCGAGAACCATTCGTAAGTTCTCAAGAGTTAATTCTAGGGGCTGGGGATTTAGCTCAGTGGCATAAGCGCCTGTCTTGCAAGCAGGCAGTCGTGAGTTCGATCCCTGGTACCGATAAAAAGGAAAAAGACAAAAAAAAAATTTTTTAAAAAAGAGTTAATTCTAGATAAACCAGAAAAACTCATAGCTCTACATGTAAGTTGGGCAGCATATGAATGTTGCTTTTGATGTGTCAGATCGGACTTCACATTCCTACGATTTAACTAGGATACCTGTAAAGTCAAAAATCGAGCCCGGACCAAAACGAAAAATTGCGCGAATACTAATTTTCTCCATTCGCCGCAAGGCAACGGAAAACACCTGAGCTCTGAGAGGAGCTAGGAACAAGATTTGGGAAGATTCAGTTCAGGAGGGTGGGTAGGTGCAAGGCACTGACAGATTTTCTGCGCACGACCTTTAGCCTACATGCTACCTCTTCCAACTGGGGCAGCCTCCAGGAGAGGGAGCAGGGTCCACAGGCGGGCAGACAGCACTGACCTTGCTCTAAACCCTGGGCAGAGAGGGGCTGCTAAGCGCTGCCCGGCCCGTCGCCCCCACCGCCCGCTCGGCTCGCCACGGCACTGGTCCCCGCGCGGCGACCGCTCTCACCCCGGCAGGACAGCTTGGGGAGGGGCGCCATCGTGGCCCAAGCGCCCGGCGCTCTCTGGGCCGCACGGCCGAAGGACACTCTGCGTCTCTGCGCGCGCGCGCGCGGGCTCCTAGGCTGTGGGGGGCGCCATTGCGAGCCGGGAACTTCCGAGAGCGCCCCCGAAGTCTGTCTCAGCTCAGCCGGCCACCCTTGCCTCGAAGCGTCCCCGCCTCCCTCTGCGCCGGCGCCGCACATGACGCGACAACTAGGGAAACTTCCGGGTCGCTAGCCGGCCAGAAAGAAAAAAGCATTCCAAGTCCCAGCGCAACCCGCAGCTTCGGGCAACGCCTCCACTTCTGCCTCAAGCCCGGAGCGGGAGGAGCCCAGAAGTCTCCGCGTTCACGCCTGCGTTTTAGCAGCATGGGGGGGGGGCACGCACACAGCAAGCTGGAAGTTGTAGTCTTCTGCTTCTACGCCCGCCTGCTTGGCGGAAGACTTGCGCAGGCGCAGTGAGCCGCCCAAGGACGTCTAATTGGCTGTCTGAAAATTGAAATCTTTGAGGTGTGGGACTGAGACCCGCAAGGAGAGGGACAGGGCTTTCAGCGTCCGCAAGAAATTGAGCTAAGGGGCTGGGGATTTAGCTCAGCGGCATAAGCACCTGCCTTGCAAGCAGGCCTTCATGAGTTCAATCTCCGGTACCGATAAAAATGAAAAAAAAAAAAAAAAAAAAGAAATTGAACTAAAGCTGGAGTGGGCGGGGCGGTTCTGTTTCCCTTGGCTGCTTGTCCGTGAGGCTGCCCCTGCGGACCTGTGGGGTTACCCACTGTCCCTGCTGATGATAGCCTTTTTAGTGCCTTTTCTGGTGGCAAGAGATATGTCCATGCGCTGGAGACCCAAAGAATCCAGCTGAGCGTCTGGATCCCACAGCCATATCCTGCAGGAGTCTAGCTGGAAACCTAGAGCCCAGACAAAGTCACATGCAAGTCTATATCAAGGGTCTGCACTGGGAAGGCCCAAAGGAAGCAAGAAAGTCTGTGCCAGAGGGGTGAAGAATCTGTGCGAGCAGGCTGAGGGATCTGCACTGGAACCAGGACTCCTCTCAAGAGAATCACAACCTCCTCAGCAACAGCAAGGGCCTGAGCTCCTCTGACGGTCCAAGCAGCCAAGTTTATATCAGGAAAGCTAGTGAGACAAGCTTCTTCAAGAGAATCAAGGGCACACCAGCTCCCCCTCTGGAGCCTCAGAAACAGTGCTCAAGGTAAGGACCAGAGCTCCCCTGAAGAGAACAACAGCTTCCTCAGTAACACCAAGGACCCAAGCTCCAACAATGAGAGCAGCCGAGTTCATATCAAGAAAGCCAGCAAAAGGGCTGGGGATTTAGCTCAGTGGCATAAGCACCCGCCTTGCAAGCAGGCGGTCGGATCGTGAGGTCGATCCCTGGTACCAATAAAAACGAAAAAGAAAAAAAAAAAAAAAAAAAAAAAAAAAGAAAGAAAGCCAGCAAAGCAAGGTGCTCCTGGAGAATCAGCACACTAAGTTCCTCTGCAGTTCTGTTTTTAGGTTGTTGGCAGTGATCCTTAGAATAGCTATCTATACCCAGCAACGCACTGATTCAGTTCAGGAAAATCACATGACAAGGATAAGTCAATATATATCTGTTATAACCATCAATGTTAATGATCTCAATTCACCAATCAAGAGACACAGACTAGGGACCACCAGGTTGCCTAAGGAGGGGTGAACCGGCCCAGGTTGGAAACGGAGCAGGTCAAAACTCCCTGTGCTGATCAGTAGTGGGATCGCGCCTGTGAATAGCCACTGTACTCCAGCCTGGGCTGTCGGGGTCGCTCCCGGCCGGCAGGAAAGACACACGACAAAGTCTGGCAGTGTGCAACCTTGCCTTTATTTGTCTCCGCGTGGGCCCCGCGAGGCCTCCTCTCTGCCACCAGCCCTTTCTCGCCAGTGGACTTTCTCTATCTCTCTCTGTGCTTTCTCTCTGTGCTTCTCCCTCGTGGCGGGAGAGGCATTTACTTTTATAGGGTAACAGTGGCCAATCAGTTCAAAGCGCGCGATGCGGGCTGATTGGCTAACTTCAGTTGTTGCTAGGCAGACTATTCTATTGCGCGGGCTGCTTACGTCGCCAGGGCAATCAGGGGGCAGGAAGCAGGCGCCAACTTGGCTCACTCGATGGGAGGGGCAATCTAGCTCAGGCTCCGCTCCCACCCACAGGCCCTACGTCCGCCAAGTAAGGCGACCGGTGTCGGCGGCTCCCAACATCTCCCCCTATTTTATTTACTTTGAATGAATGTATGCATCGCAGCCCGCCCTGGATCGAGTGCAGAGGCTTATGCCCTGTGTTGAGGCCCACCGTAGGCCCTTGGCTTGGACCCTGGTCGGCCGCCCCCGGGTCTGCCAAGGCCTTGAGACCCTCGTCCTTTTTCCAGGGCCAGGAGTGAACTGGACGGAACCTGGATGCACATAGGCATGCACTCATGCCCCTCCGTGTGATCCCCTCGGAGAGGCATCTAGATCTGGGCAGATTCTAGTAATCCAGTGGCTTTCGTGCGCCATGGGGTAGGGCCTGGCTTAGGTCGAGTCGTGCTGGGGAGGCACGCTCTTACCCGTCATTGACTCACCTACCCTGCTGTGTGGTGTCATTAGGGAAGGAATGCGGAAGACCCGCCACACCTAGACCCGGTCGTAGGCCAGAGCGAGCCATGCGTAGGCCTGGGGGTCATTGTGCCCATCACGGGCTGCTGCCAGGGCCGCATGGGCAACCAGGCGTACTTGACACCGGGCCGCCGCAAGGCGCCCATTAATAAATGATGTAACCCATCGGAGCAAGCATGGTCCTATAAGTAAGAGCAGAAGCAAGGAGCACAGGGGACCTAACAATGGTAAAACATAGGGGAGCAAGCCATTCCAGGCTCCCCAAAAAGGGATTGTCCTGCAGTTCTTTTAGGGCTCATCTTGTTGTTGGGTCTGCGGTTGGCCCCTGGTGGAACAGGCCTGATCTTCAGTCGAGGGACTTGTCGCAACCTCTCTGGGACCCACAGTGGTTCTCGTCCCGATTCCTGTCCGGCAGCACCACGCTGGAGTGTTGCACACCACCGCCGTGTCTCGGGGTTGATCAGTCCCCGTACGGGCCACCAAATGTCGATGTCGCTCCCGGCCGGCAGGAAAGACACACGACAAAGTCTGGCGGTGTGCAACCTTGCCTTTATTTGTCTCCGCGTGGGCCCCACGAGGCCTCCTCTCTGCCACCAGCCCTTTCTCGCCAGTGGACTTTCTCTATCTCTCTCTGTGCTTTCTCTCTGTGCTTCTCCCTCGTGGCGGGAGAGGCATTTACTTTTATAGGGTAACAGTGGCCAATCAGTTCAAAGCGCGCGATGCGGGCTGATTGGCTAACTTCAGTTGTTGCTAGGCAGACTATTCTATTGCGCGGGCTGCTTACGTCGCCAGGGCAATCAGGGGGCAGGAAGCAGGCGCCAACTTGGCTCACTCGATGGGAGGGGCAATCTAGCTCAGGCTCCGCTCCCACCCACAGGCCCTACGTCCGCCAAGTAAGGCGACCGGTGTCGGCGGCTCCCAACACTGGGCAATATAGTGAGACCCTGTCTCTTAAAAAAAGAAAAAAAAAAAAAAAAAAGAGACAGACTGATAATGGATCAAGAAGTAAGAACCAACAATATGCTGCATACAAGAAACACATTTAATTAAAAAAGAAATTCATAGACTGAAAGTCAGAGGATGGAAAACAATACTCCATGAGACAGAAACCCAGAAAAAAAGCAGGGGTAACTAGTCTATTTGCAGAAAAAGTGAATTTCAAGACTGATTAAGAGAGATAAAGAAGAGGCTGGGGATTTAGCTCAGCGGCATCTTTAAGCGCCTGCCTTGCAAGCAAGCAGTCATGAGTTCGATAGAAAGATTACATAAAATTGACAAACCCTTAGCCAAACTTGTCAAAAAAAAAAAAAAAAAAAAAAAGAAAGACTTGAATCCATGCAATTAGGAATGAAAAGGGTGAAATCATAACGACCCTGCAGAAATCCAGAAGACCACATACTTCAAAAATTTGTATTCTAATAAGGTGGAAAATACAAAACAAATGCACAGTCCTAGGTGTATATGAATTACCAGTGCTGAATCAGAAAGATATAAAAGACCTAAATAAATCAATATCAATAAATGAAATCAAAGATGTAATTAAAAACCTATCAACAAAGAAAAGCACAGGCCCTATGGATTCATTGCTAAATTCTACAAGAAAGTTACAGAAGACCTAACACCACTACTTCTCAAAATCTTTAATGAAATTGAAAGGGAAATAATACTTCCAAATTCATTCCTGGAAGCAAGAATTACCCTGATATCAAAACCATAGAAGGACCCAACTAAGAAAAAGAATTATAGGCCAATTTCCCTAAGGAACATTGATGCAAAAAATCCTCAGTAAAATACTGGCAAAAGACTGTAGCAAATTATCAAAAAGACTATACACCATAATCAAGTGAGATTCATGCCAGGGATGTAGGGATGGTTTAACATACATAAATCCATAAATGTAATACACCATATTAACAGAGCCAAGGACAAAAATCATATGATCATCTTAATAGATGCATTAAAAGCTTTTGACAAAATCCAACACCAATTTATGATAAAAACCTTACCAAAAAATGGAACAACTCAATCTGATAAATGCCATCTATGACAAACCAAGAGTCAATATCATACTAAATGGGCAAAAACTGAAAGCTTTCACTTTAAAATCAGAAACAAGACAAGGATGTCCACTGTCTGCACTCTTACTCGACATAGTCCTAGAAACTTTAGCTGGAGCAGTTAGAAAAGAGAAAGAAATAAAAGGAATAAATATGGGAAAGGAAGAAATTAAATTATTGTTATTTGCAGATGACATGATACTCTGTTTTGAAGACCCCAAAAACTTCACGAAAAGACTTCTAGATTTAATAAGCTAATGCAGCAATGTAGTTGGTTACAAAGTCAACACATGAAAATCAATAGCCTTCCTATACATGAATAGCAAACTCGCTGAGAGAGAAATCAGGGAAACAAATGTTTTACATAACATCCTAAAAATGGTTAGAAGATTGAGAAACAACTCCAGAAACACTAAGCCATTTTACCTTTGACAAAGGGGCCAAACACATTCACTGGAAGAAAAATAGCCACTTTAATAAATGACGCTGGTGGGGCTGGGGATTTAGCTCAGTCACATAAGCGCCTGCTTTGCAAGCAGGCAGTCGTGAGTTCGATCCCTGGTACCGATAAAAAAGCAAAAAAAAATAAGTGAAATAATTCAGACTCCTGTAAATATTGCATTGTCTCCCTAGTGTAAGA